AAACCAACATTCAAATACAGCCTATGGAGGCCATTCTCACTCAAATCACCATAGTCAGTAACACACCAGGTCTCTTCTTGTTTGGTTTTTGGGGGAAATGGCCTAGAATTTACTATGTAGTCCAGGCTGGCCTTGAACTCTTAGCTCAGGCTCCCAAGTGCTGGGATTATAGGTATCCGCTACCACTCCCAGCCCAGAGCAGACTCTTGGCTCCAGAGTCTCTTCTTCCAGCAGCTTCCTAGGGAGAGTAAATTGAGGTGCCCCTGGGAATGGGTGTCCTTCGCCACCTCCGGAAGCTCGGCGAGCCTTGGGGTGTCTTGCTCCAGAGGCCTTGCCTGAGTCCATGTGGAAGATGGAAATCCCGGGACTCTTACAACAGTACCTGGAAGTCCGGAACTGCAGCATCACATGGGGCATTAGACCCCTAAGCCCTCACCATCAAATGTTGTTTACTTATTCATTCAACAAGCTGGTGAGTGCTTACTATGTCCCAAGCCCTGTTCCATGGACCTGATTACAAGAGCGAATGTTGCACTCCAATGTAAGAGACAGAAAACACGGATAAGTGATCAAGAAACATTAACCTACTCATGGGCCAAAGAGGAAAACAGAGCAGCCAGCAGCAGCAGTCAGTTTGAGGGGAGATCCTGTCACAGGGAGGAAGAAGTTAATACCGCTCGCTTCCCCAGGAAAGCCTCTGGGTCATACTAATGTTTTCTGACATTGGAGTAAACTTCAAAGTACAAAGAATAGAGTCTTCCAACTCGGACCTTCAAAGGAGAAGCTGGAGCAGCCTGGATGGGAACTCCTCTCCCAGGGTGCCAGCTGGACTATGGGCTGGAACCCAACCCAGAGTCCCGGGGAAAGGGAGAGCCCCTTGGGAAAAGTTCAGGCCAGCCGGCTGCTCCTACACTCCTTCCCTAACACCTCTCCAGAGGCCTCCCAGCTCGCTGTCTGCGGGCACAAAGGAGGCCCACCCAGCATTCCCTCCTTCCTCCTTCCAGCCTAAGTTGCATTTCTAAGTGCAGAGGTAACCTTGGGACCCAAAACCTCCAGACCATTTTCGATGCCTCCAGGCTCTGCCCCTCTCTCTCCAAGCTTAAGCACTCTGTGGTATGCTACTTGTAAGCAAATTACCTCTCCCCTCCCCCCAGCTCAGAACTCCACGGAGGGGTGTTTGGGAGGAGTCCCCAAGAGCCCTACTCCCACCAGTCAGAGATAAAGTCAGGAGTGTGGTCCCTCCTGTAAAGATCAGGGGGGAAATCTAATCGGAGTCTCCTCCCAACAGTCTCCGGCTCTCCCTCTTCCCAATGAGCAAGGTTTGCATCGAGAACCTGGAGCCTGGGAAGAGACTGTCCTGTGGCCTTAGTGACACCAGAAATGAAATGAGCCACGGAGCACCTCTGTGGCTTCCTCTTCTGCCCAGACGCTTCACTCTTGTAGGGGCCCAGCAGGCCCTGCACAGCTGCCTTCTCTTTCTGGGGCCAAGGCTGCAGAACTAGGCTGGGCTGTATCTGGCCATTGGACTAATATCCAGATATTAAGTAAACAATAAATTAGCAAAACTACAAGAAAATTCTACAGCCCTTTGCATTTGGCAATCATTGAGTGTTAATTAGAAATTCATTACAATTAAAACCCTGCCTAAACAGGGCCTGCGCGCCTTAATTACATCTGATTTTTAATTCAGAATACGTGTTTACACAGAAAGCGCTACGTACCCCATGATTATCCCCAATCCTCTTTATACTGTACTAATTATGTAAATTAAACCTAATTAACTGACGAAAACTGCCGTTAATTCAACTGGTAAAAGATATGTGCTTGAGACAGAGGCGCGTCAGCACAGCCCGGCCCAAGCCAGAATCCGAATGGGCGCTAGAAGAGGGGCCGGTGTGGACCCGACGCCCCGATGTAGGGGGCAGCGCGGAGCTGACTAGGGGCTGCGGAGAGCGCAGCCAGGAGCAGATAAAAGAGACAAAATAGTAAGAACTGGAGAGAGATGGGCCAAGGGCAACAACTCCCTCAAACTCCTTCTGCTCTCTGGGCAGGGCCGCAGGACCTAGAGCCGTCACTGAAAAAAAAAGGGGGGGGGGTTTCACGTACTGCATCTGAACCTGGGTTCCAGTCCCAGCTCTGCCCACCCATTGGCCTCCTGAACTTGAGCAGATGACTTGGGCTTATTAGGCGTCTTTCCTCCACACCCAGGCTGAGGTTGCACATTCCTCCCCGTCCCTTCACCCAACCAGACCCCCTCTACAGAGTGTCAGACAGGGCGCGCTGAGTGTAGCTCAGCCTGTGCCTCTGTCTTACAGACTGAGGAACCTGGGGCTTCCCGTGCCTGACTCTTCCCTTCCTGTGAAATGGGAATGCTCGGATGGTGGCTGCTGTGAGAACAGGCTCGCAGATCTTAAAATGTGGGTGGCTGTAGTGTTCCTGTGGAACTCGGCTCGAGCTCGGATCCCCCACACAAGTGCCCCCCCGCCCCGAAACCAGCCCCAAGCAGCAGCGATCCCCCAGCCTCTCCTTCCATAGAGCTGAGCAGGAGCGGCCAGGAGGAAGAACGGGACCGGGCTGGGAGCTGTCCCGAGCTTGGTGCTGAACAGGGAGCAGAAGCGACACTGGTCATCTGCTAGTGCAGTAGCCTAAAGCAGGACCCTTTGTATGAGAGGTCCCCAGGGACTCTGCCTCCTGGCTGCCCGGACGGACTGGAGGCCAGTCCCGGAGGCGTTATTAGCCCTGGCAGTACAATAGAGGCAAATCAGGCGCCCCCTCAGGAGGGGGACTTTCCGTGTCCTCCCCTTCCTACTCCACCACCCTGGGGGCGCCGGACTTCCCGATCGTTGTCACCACCATACCGTAGAGTTCTGAGGTTGCTTTTAAAAAAATCATTAGGAATCTAGGAATAATTACCGAGTGGGATTGTAATTATGGGATGGGGGAGCCTGGGCCGAGCAGGGGGGAGATGAGCAGGGGGTGGGAGTGCTGAGGATAGCCTCTCGTACAGGGACCAAAAGCAGGCTGTTTCCCTCCGAAAGAAGGCGGGGAGGATGAGAGCGCAGAGTTGGAGTGGGACAGAGGTAGCACCGGGGAGAAATGCCGGAAGGGAAGAGCCGAGAAAGAGGGCCTGAGCAGGCTCCAGGCTGGAGAAAGTGAGAGGCGGGGAGAAAGCAAGAGAGAGGGAGACACTGAGGGAGAGGAAAACGAGACCTACATCTAGAAGAAACCTTCAAACTTGCTTAGGAGGCTTCAGAGAACAGGCTAGGAACCTGCCCCAGGCCTGGTACCTCCTTTCTCCGAGGGCAAGGCCTGAGCCATAACTGTACTCCAGGGCCCTTTCGTGGGGTCTCCTCGAGCCAGAGAGAAAAGAGCAGGAAAGGAGCAAGCGAGAAGTGGAAGAGAACGGGAAGTGAACCCACGGGAGCGGAAACACGGGAGAAAAGAGGACCCACAACCCAGAGCCAGGAGGGAAACCAGAGGGCGGGGGCGAGGGCGACCCCGAGCCGCTACCCGCGGAAGATTTATGGAGCCGCTCAGGTTCCAAGGACAGGCTGCACTCGCCGCCGCCGCCGCTGCCAGTAGCCGCTGTGGCCGCTGCGCCCCCTGCCCCCGGCGGCCCGCCGCGCCCCGGGCCATCCTTGCCATTATTAACTTCTGTTTGATTAGGGTAATTGTTCAAACTTGAGTTGGAACAGTATGATTAATTACAGTTTAATTAACGTGTCCATTAAGGACACTTAATGCCGCGGGGGCAGGAAGAGGAGGTGAAAATGGCCGAGGGGGCGCCCGAAAACAGGCGAGGGGTGTGTTACTAGTAACTCGTAGATTAAGACGGTAAGAGACCCGATGGGAGGAAATGAGAGAGAGAGAGAGAGAGAGGAGAGAGAGAGAGAGAGGAGAGAGAGAGAGAGAGAGAGAGAGAGAGAGAGAGAGAGAGAGAGGAGTGTTTGGGGGTATAGAGAAAGTACCAAGGGGTAGTGTCCCCAGAAAACGGACCTCTCCACTAGAAAACAGCAACGTCGACCAGTAGTTGACCCCACGCCTCCCCCAATTATGACTTGGCTCTTGCTTTGGACAAGAGATGATGGGAGATCCTGGGGTTGGGGTCCCCCAGTCCCTTGCCCAGTGAAGAAAGAAGGGTGACTTTCTCTGCAGCGTTTTCCAGCCTGCTCCCGCAGTCAGGAGCGGTGGGGAGATGCGCTGACCCCTTCCCGGCTGCGCTCCCCAGTGCTCAGTACCCTATCCCATTCTTGCCCGCCAGTCCGGGTCTCCAGGGCCACTCACAGTTCCACGGTCCCTGCAGCGGGAGAGTGGTGTGACCTTCTCCACTCTCCTTCCTTTTGAGGTCACCCTCAACTCCATCACCCTGCCCCGGGCCTGCCGAGCTCCGGGTCCTTTGGTGGCAACGGCGAGCGTCGGACCTTCAGCACTTGGTTCTCAGGGGCGAACTTTCGAGTTCCCCGGCCCTCCTTCCCACTCGGCCTCTCGGGCTCGCGCCGGGCCGCAGGTGCGAGCCGCGGGCCGCAGGTGGGCGGCCGCTTACCTGGGGCGCACAGGCCCGGGGGCTGCGGAGAGGCGGCGGGCGCGGCGCGGGGCCAGCGGGCGGGCGCACCCGGGGAGGGCGCGAGGAACTGCGAGGGGTGGTGGGTGTGGCGCCCCGGCTCGCAGCTGTCAGGCGCTCCAGCCCAGCGCCGGCCTCTCCACTCCCGCCAGTGTCCGCCACCGTGCCCGCCGCCGCGCCATGAGCTCAAGGCTTCGGCTGCTTCTTCGGGCCAGTCCCCGGCCTCGGGGGGCATCGGCTCCAAGGACCCGGCTCCGCTCCGGGGACCCCCGGCGCCCCACGCCTGTTGAGAGCGGGAGGGGCCGCGGGGTGGCAGCGCGGGGGAGCGGGGTTGCGCGGCTGTGCGCGCGCGCGGGGGAGGGGCCGCGCCGTCACCCGGAGAGCCCGGCGGATCCCCGACTCCCGCCCGCCGCTCCGCCCGCCGCGCACCTCCGCTCGCCGCTCGCCGGCTCCAGCGGCCGCACGGTGAGTACCCGCGATCGCGAGCCCGCAGCCCCCGCCCCAGCTGCCCCAGCGCTTCTTTCGTTGACTTCTCCTTTAGACTCTGTGGCTGTTGTTTTCTATCCTACCAAACGACTCCACAGCCTCACTGCCACCGCCGCCCGCCTCCCGCCTCCTTACCCTTGCCAGGCTCGCCCCTCAAGCCCCAGGAGCCGACCAGGGGGGTCCCCGGGCCGCCCTGACCGCTGCTTCTTGTGGCTGAGTGCGGCCCTAGGCGGGCGCTTTCTTCTTTGACCCTCGAAATGCTGTTTCGTTCCTAGGGCTCCCCACTTCTCCGGGCTCCAAGGCTGGAAGCCCTCTGGGAAAACCCCTTGGGGACTCAGGACCCCTAGCTTCAGGTGGACGCTCCTGGCTCAGGGTGTCCTCTTCACTGTATGCGGGCCCGGGTACATTTGCTCAGAAAACCAAGAAGCCATCGTCATTTCCCAAAGCTGCACGCCCCCAGCCACCTCCGCAGTCTGAGAACCATTCCTGGGACGCCCGGCTTGCCTTGTTGACCCCTCAGCCAAGGAGTTAGGACAGTGTTTGTTTGCCTCCTAAAATGCTCCCAGGGACTTCAATGAGAAGGGAGGATCAACTTGCTTCGGTTTGACTGGAAGAGATGAAACAGATAATAGATAAATTGCTTGATACTTGAACAAGATGTAAGATAGATGGGGGAAAGAGGAGTGAGCTGGCAGCGACAGACAGCTTAGGGACAGATAAGATCGACAAATAAGGAGCATCTAAGCAAGCAGAGAGGGAGGGAAAGAGACCTCAAAGATTTCAGGTTCTTCGCTGAAGGCTTTGGAATTCGGGCCCCCTATTAGGTTGAAGCTGCCCCCCCCAATGGATTTGCCTTTTCAGCCAAGTTCGGGGGAGGGAGTCCTGAGGATTGGACTGGGCTGAAGAGCACCTGCCGCCACGCACTGGAGCTCTGAGTGTATGAAGACACGTGGGGTGACTAGGCGACCTAAAAGGCCCTAAATATCAATTTCTGGGTCCTCCACCAGGCTAGTCTGTGGACACAGCTTCCTGTCTGCCTCCTCCAGAAACCAAAGCGGGGGACCACCAGCAACTTTTTATGCCTGGAGTTTTACAGTAGCTTCCAAGAGTGACCAAGATTCTTTCTAGTCCATATGAGCTGGGATATCGGGGGCATGGAGAACACTCAAAGAGGAAACACCCCCAGGAAAGGAGCAGCCCAGAGCCTGGGGAGCCTGGGTTTGGCCTGAGGAAATTAGGCATATGTGAAGACTTAGGGAATGTGTTTCCAAGAAGTGACTCTGGAGAAGCCTCTGTGAGAATCTCTCTGTCCCAAGCGCTGACCCAGACGGAAGCCAGCTTTAGTCTGGAATGCAGCTAAAAATGCAGAAAATGTGGTTAAAAACGGTGTGATCCTGGCCCAACTGATGGCTGGCAAGAAAGCTTTTTGTAAATCCAGCTGGACACTTTTTGCTCAAGGAACACGGGGCGCAAGGCGTCAGAAGAGAAGTCCAGGGTTGTGCAAGCCAGTACTGTTGCTCCTGGAAGCCGGTCGTCACGGAGCTAGGTGCAGTGGGGGCCACCCGAGGCCTCCGTGCACTCGACAAGCTTTGGAAAGGGTAGGGTTCAGCACCGCGAACAGCGGTGGCCTCCTCCACCTCCTCGTCACACATTCTTCTTGAACCTCCAGCCCTCCTCCTTCTCCCTGCCCCCACCGCTGCATCCCTCAGTTTGGTGATGGGCAGTGAGTGCCCCTCCCTCGCCTCCCACCTCTCCCCTCCCTGCCCCCCCCCCCGCCCGCACGCGTGCATGCGCGACTGAGCAGAGGGGCCGCTGGTCCCCGAAGTCCGGGCTTCAGGACCCTGTCGGGCAGGGAAGGCTGCGAGGTAGCTGAAAGCAGGCGAACCTGCGTGCGGGCCGGAAAGCCTGGATTTGGCTATGGCATTGCTGTGTGGCCTTGGGCAAGTCACTCTCCGTCTCTGGGTCTCACTTCCTTCCCAATCTGAAAACAGGATTGAGTTCCTGGCAGCCGGGGCTTTCCTGAGGTTTCTATTTTTCCCTTTTCCTCCCTTAGCCCCCGGGTGCTTTTGTTTCAGCGCAGGCACGGGTCTGAATAACAAAAGGGGCCAGTCCAGGGGACGAATGAGCTTGGACTCCTTACAGCCAAGTAACCCCCTCGCACCCCACACGCTGCGCCCCGCTGGGCGGGCCTGAACCGAGGTAGCGTCGCTAAAAATGGCTCATCTGCTCTCTGCTCTCTCTGTTTCTCAGGAGCGGCGGCGGCATGGAGGCTCTCACCACTCAGCTGGGGCCGGGGCGCGAGGGCAGCTCCTCGCCCAACTCCAAGCAAGAGCTGCAGCCCTATTCGGGATCCAGCGCTCTTAAACCCAACCAGGTGGGCGAGACGTCGCTGTACGGGGTGCCTATCGTGTCGCTGGTCATTGATGGGCAGGAGCGCCTGTGCCTAGCCCAGATCTCCAACACCCTGCTCAAAAACTACAGCTACAATGAGATCCACAACCGCCGCGTGGCCCTGGGCATCACGTGCGTGCAGTGCACGCCGGTGCAGCTGGAGATCCTGCGTCGGGCCGGGGCCATGCCCATCTCCTCTCGCCGTTGCGGCATGATCACCAAACGAGAGGCCGAACGCCTGTGCAAATCATTCCTGGGTGAGCACAAGCCGCCCAAACTGCCCGAGAACTTCGCCTTTGACGTGGTGCACGAGTGCGCGTGGGGTTCCCGGGGCAGCTTCATTCCCGCCCGCTACAACAGCTCTCGCGCCAAGTGCATCAAGTGCGGCTACTGCAGCATGTATTTCTCGCCCAACAAGTTCATCTTCCATTCGCACCGTACACCCGACGCCAAGTACACTCAGCCCGACGCCGCCAACTTCAACTCGTGGCGTCGGCACCTCAAACTTAGTGACAAGTCGGCCACCGACGAACTGAGCCACGCTTGGGAGGACGTCAAGGCTATGTTTAATGGCGGGGACGCGCAAGCGGACCTTCTCGCTGCAAGGAGGCGGCGGAGGCGGCGCTAACAGCGGGTCTGGCGGTGCAGGGAAGGGCGGCGCTGGTGGCGGCGGCGGTGGCGGCCCAGGGTGCGGCGGCGCAGAGATGGCCCCAGGCCCACCGCCTCACAAAAGTCTGCGCTGCGGTGACGACGAGGTGGCTGGGCCTCCGGGACCACCTCCACCGCATCCGCAGCGTGCACTAGGCCTGGCGGCCGCAGCTAGTGGCCCTGCAGGACCCGGAGGGCCTGGGGGCAGCGCGGGAGTTCGCAGCTACCCGGTGATTCCAGTGCCCAGCAAAGGCTTCGGCCTCTTGCAGAAGCTGCCCCCGCCTCTTTTCCCACATCCTTACGGTTTCCCCACAGCGTTCGGCCTATGTCCCAAAAAGGACGACCCCAGTGTTGGTCACCGGAGAACCCAAAGGCGGCCCTGGCACCGGGAGTGGTGGGGGCGCCGGCACCGCCGCGGGTGCCGGAGGCCCGGGGGCTGGCCACTTGCCCCCGGGAGCAGGGCCAGGCCCTGGCGGCGGCACTATGTTCTGGGGACATCAACCTTCCGGCGCAGCCAAGGACGCAGCGGCGGTAGCTGCAGCAGCGGCCGCCGCCACTGTGTACCCGACGTTTCCCATGTTCTGGCCAGCTGCCGGGAGCCTCCCGGTGCCGCCTTACCCGGCCGCACAGAGCCAAGCCAAGGCCGTAGCGGCCGCGGTGGCTGCTGCTGCTGCTGCGGCGGCGGCGGTGGCTGGCGGTGGCGGCCCGGAGTCTTTGGACGGTGCCGAGCCAGCCAAGGAGGGCAGCCTGGGTACGGAGGAGCGCTGTCCGAGCGCTCTGTCCCGCGGGCCCCTGGACGAGGACGGCGCGGACGAGGCGCTGCCTCCGACCCTGGCTCCCCTGCCCCCTCCACCACCGCCACCTGCCCGCAAAAGCTCCTACGTGTCAGCCTTCCGACCCGTGGTCAAGGACGCGGAGAGCATCGCTAAGCTCTACGGCAGCGCGCGGGAGGCCTATGGCTCGGGGCCTGCTCGTGGGCCAGTGCCGGGCACAGGGACCGGAGGAGGCTACGTGAGCCCGGACTTTCTGAGCGAGGGCAGCTCTAGCTACCATTCTGCCTCGCCCGACGTGGACACCGCTGACGAACCCGAGGTGGATGTAGAGTCCAACCGCTTCCCCGACGAGGAGGGCGCCCAGGACGACACCGAGCCCAGCGCACCCAGCACGGGAGGTGGCCCAGACGGCGACCAGTCCGCTGGGCCCCCATCTGTCACATCCTCGGGCGCAGACGGTCCCACGGACTCTCCTGATGGCGATAGCCCTCGCCCTCGCCGCCGCCTCGGGCCACCGCCCGCTGGCAGATCCGCATTCGGGGACCTGGTGGCCGATGACGTGGGGCGGAGAACTGAGAGGAGCCCACCCAGCGGCGGCTATGAACTGCGAGAGCCTTGCGGGCCCCTGGGAGGCCCCGCGGCGGCCAAGGTGAGCCCGGCTTCCCACGGGTGGCGCCTCCTCCCTTCCTCCATTCTGCCGGTGTGCACAGCAGCCCCGGCCGAATGCGGGAACAGGGATTTTGTTCTGCTCAGGCGTTGGAGCCGCAGGTCCCAGCTGCTTTTCACAGCCCCAGTTTAGGGTTCGCTGTGGAAGTGGGCTCGCTAGGAACCCCAGGATGAGGGATTCGGAAAATCCGGGGGCAGGCCTAAGAAACAGCGAGTGCATTTTGTTTTTGTTGATGGAGTGGGGGGGGGGAGATTTGCAGAGACCACTAGGCACCCAGAAAGAGAAACAAAAGAGGTCTGAAGGAAGAAAGAGGAGAGGAAGGGACCCCGAAACAGAGGAAGGCGCCCCGGAGGCCAGGCCCAAAGTGTGCCTGCATGCATGAGGATGACACCCGAAGAACTCCAGAGAGTAGGGGGAGAAGAGGGCAGCCTCTTGCTAAGAAGTCTCTAGAACCCTCCATTATCCTAACTGGCAGTTTTCTGAGTCTTTTCAAACTCAGTAACTACACCGCTCTTGGCTGCAAAGCCTAGGCTCGCCGGCTCTCTGCTTGTCAAGGGGAAGTGGATGGAGAGTGAGTTGTGACTAGGCCGGAAGGGTTGGCTGTTTGAAAGGAGGTACGCGGCGCACCTGTACATTCACATTGAGTTCATTAAAACAGGAATTGTTGACTGTGTGAGAAAGGCGTCGTTTATGCAGGGAACGACCTGGGGAGGGAAAGTAGCTAAAACGGAGGTGAGCACTGAACGTGGGGGTGGCTTTGAACAGCCGGTGGCTTGAGAGCCGCTTTGCATTTCAAGCAATTTGTTCGTAGGGACCAAAGATTATCCCGAATCAACTACGGTATGTCACCGCTGCCCTGGGTACCCAGGTCTACAGAGCCCACCAACCTCTGCCATCCCCTCGGCCTTCCTGTTGGCCGCAGGGCATGGTTGTCCCCCCCCCTAATTGCCTGTCATTTTCGGCGGCCGCAGGTGTATGCGCCTGAGAGGGACGAACACGTGAAGAATGCGGCGGCGGCGGCGGCGGCGGCGCTGGGGCCCGCGGCCTCGTACCTCTGCACCCCGGAGGCCCACGGTAATGCCTCCCGAGGCCCCTGGCCCTTGTAACACAGGGAGCACCCCTAGAACCCAGGACCAAGTCAGGCCTTTCAAAGGAGGGGGTGAGGGGGCGGGAGGGGGCGTAAAGAAAAGGAGAGAAAGAGGGAAAAAAAACAATAGAAGAAAAAGGAAACTGTGAACACCCAATGCTCTGGATTTGGCTACTTAACAACAATCACGATGCATCCTCCTCATTTCCACACGCACGCGCGCGCGCTCACATACACACACTCCAGCACACCTCATCGGAGATTTAAACCTTTCAAAAGACTACACTGGGCAGGCATCTCCTTCAGGTCCTTTGATTTATCCAGAAACTTCTTAGCCTTAGACCGCGTGGTGGCGAGGCCAGCTCTGGGAACAGGGTGAGGACTAGTGGCTGAGCGCTTGGGTGTCCTAGAAGCTCGGTGTAGCTGCGGCCCCAATCAAGGAGCAGCCCTGCATTTGCATTTGGGACCAGGTTGCTAGCAGAGGAAGAGCAGGGGTGGGAAGGGCAACAGAAATCCAAGCAGGCCTATACAGCCGGGTGCGGGACAATGCCCCCCCCCCCAGAAAAAACCACCAGCACCCAAAAGGTCGCCCTTGGATTGCGATCTCCGCTGCAGTCGCGCGCGGACAAACCCGGCAGCCACGCGCTCTCCCGGTGCCCCAGTATCCGCGCGCGCAATGTAGGTCGCTTGTCCCTGGTGGGCTCAGCTGCTTGTCTTGATCTTTTCCTGGGGGCCAGAGGCTAGGGCGGGGGCGTGAAGCTGGGATGGAGCAGACCTTGTGCAGGGGAGGGGGTGCGGGGCACAAAGCCTCAGGGCACGCGCCTGGGCGCACAGCCGGGAACCAGAGGCGGCCACGACGTTTTTAATTAGGGCTTGGGCGCCCCAACCGAGGCCGTTCTGTAGTATCCGGGTCACGGTTTCTTTGCCTCTCCTTGAAACTCAGTCTGCCTTTTAGAGCCAGATAAGGAAGACAATCACTCCACGGCCGACGACTTGGAAACTAGGAAATCCTTTTCAGACCAAAGGAGTGTCTCCCAGCCAAGCCCTGCAAATACAGATCGAGGTGAGCCCTAACAGTCCTGGCTTGAGCTGAGGTGGCCTTGAGCTGAGACCCAACTCATCCGGGTCACCACAGGCTTGGAGGAAGGTTTTAATAGTGAGCAAATGATGCCGTTGAACAGACAGTTGATGTTGTGGGGGAGGTGCAGGCCGGGTTTCAGGTCTTGTTTCTTCCTGACTGGCTTTGAGGGTCTTCTGAGAAAGAGGTGGGGGCCCTACTAAAAGGAAAAGGAAGAGGGACCATCTCATTCACCTAGAATAGATCAAAGGGCACTTCCTGCCAGGGTTCATCTTCCTGAGCTTACTTTCCTTCTCCTCAAATTAGTGTCTTGGAAGGTGGGAAGGCTGCAGGTCTGGTAGAGGTCCCTAATTTGGCAAAGTTCCCAGGCTCTCTCCAGGACTGAACCCCTCTTACGGCCCTTGTATCCTAGGTGAAGACGGGCTCACTTTGGATGTCACAGGAACTCAACTGGTGGAGAAAGACATTGAAAACCTGGCCAGAGGTGAGGTTAAATCTGTGAAATGGAGCTATGAGATGCTTCAGGTAGATGGGTCCTTAGAGGAGAGGGTATTCTGGTAGTGGGTGTGTGCCAAAGGCACAACCAGTTTTCATTTCACCTAGTAGAAAAGATAACCCTCTGGACATGTGGCACAGAGGTAGGGTGAGTGGACCAGCAAGTTTATTGGAAGTTTGGGTTCTCAAGAACTGACTTGAAGGGCCCAGTGAAAAAGGAGACTGGGCCTTGATTCTCAGAACTTGTAACTGGTGGACAATTTGAGTCTCTCTAACCCCATGCCGGGCAAAAAACCCACAACTTTGGCTGAAGAACAAGATGGCTGTCTCGGGGAGGTAGGTATTTCTTTCCAGAATGTGTCAAAGGCCACTTTTCCCTCTGAGATTAATGCATAACCCTTCAACAATAATGGAGTAAGATTGGAGCTCATTTGCAGAACAGGACACCCCTCCTCCTGTCACTGTTTAGTCTGATGGGGGAGATAGCTTAAGGCAGGGCAAACAGGGGTTTTGAACCCCTGGCCCTCCATTTTACATTTCTGTGTTGCAAAGGAGCCTTCCTATGGGGGGGGGCCCTAGACACTAGTGGCCTCCTGTGGGGGCAGCTTGTCCTTCTATTTCCCCAAACAGGCTTCCTTCCACACGGGCCAATGGGAGGTCTTAGAAATTGGGCGTGGGATGGGGTGGGGGTGGGGGGGCCGGAGTTTTCCACTCTTCCTAGCTGCAGATTTTACAGGATATGCCACAACTTCAAAGCCACTGGTGTTTTATCTGATAGTTCACCGCATGGATTTGGGGGTCTAAGTACCCCCTTGAAATTGGAAACAAACTTTCTGTGTATGTCTTTTTCTCTAGGAAGGCTGTCCATGGATTTGATCAGATTCTCCCTGATTTGTCTTTAAAGGGGAGATTGGAAGTCTCATTAGAAATGGGGAGTTGTATTTTTTGGGTCATCTTCTGAGGTTGGGGAGTTAGGAGCAACTTAAAGCAGATGTCAGGCTCCAATTATTTCCTGGAGCCACGGTCCAGAAATGCAAAACAGTTTCCACCCTCTTGAATTGGAATATCTTGGGACTACTCCCTAGGCCCCCAGCTTCCATACAAGTCAAAGATAAAAGCCGAAATGCTCAGGTGTCAGGACCGTGGGCCGGGGCAGAACCTTGGCCCCGGTGGGTCCCCTGAATTTCCTCAGTCTCCCCTTTACCTCTCTCCCAACCTCTCACAGAAGAATTGCAGAAATTGCTTCTGGAGCAAATGGAGCTTCGCAAGAAGCTGGAGCGGGAATTCCAGAGTCTCAAAGGTACATCCTTCCTTCCCCACCCCACAGCACCACTTCCCGAACCTGCTCCAGGAACTGGGTGCAGGCAGCCCCTGCCGCTTGCCCCAGGGGAGAGAAGAACTCGAGTTTCCAACGTTTCCAGCTAGATGAAGGACTGGGTAGGGGTGGGAGTAGGGGTGAGGATGGGAGGGAGCGGGAAGTGGAGCTGGGAGAGGAGGCTGTGCTTAACAGCTCTCACTTAATCAATTTGCACAGATAATTTTCAGGATCAAATGAAGAGGGAATTGGCTTATCGGGAAGAAATGGTACAACAGCTGCAAATTGTCAGAGGTAAGACGGGAGTCAGGTGAGCGCGCGCACCGCAGTAACTGCCTCTCGTCTGGCAGGAGCCGCAATGTTGGCTCAGTCATTTGGATTTAAATTGAAGGTAACTTAACAATTATTTTTTTTATTTAATATCCTTTGTATAGTCTGATTAGCCTCAGAATGGCAAGCGAGCCCAGCAAACGGCTTGCAGGCATCATTACGTGGAGTGATTGAACTTCTTAGCGCGGCAATTTCCATGGTTTCTAAATTAAAAATCGAGGCGTAAAATTACCTGGGAAGTAATGCCTAAGTTTGCTTTAATTTTGGTTAGATCCGTCTGCCTTTAAGCGCCATCCCAGGCCATTTCCTCCCCCACCCCCAGCCTGCAGTTTGAAGAGTTAGTGTCCCCTCCTCAGTTTCCGGAGTTAGTTCGGCCTGGGAGAGGCTGTGGCCCTGGCCGTGACCTCTGCCGTCTGGCTGGAGAGCGGTCTGTGTTTCCTCATAGCACATCCATGTCTTCCAGATACCTTGTGTAACGAACTGGACCAGGAGAGGAAAGCGCGCTATGCCATCCAGCAGAAATTAAAAGGTGTGAACCCAGAAACAAAGATGAACGAGTGTGTGTGGGGGGGGGGGGAGTGCTGGTTGTTGGTTATACTGTGGATGGATGGTGGGTGGGTGGATGGGTGGGTGGGTGGATGGGTGGATGGTTGGATGGATGGAGATGTTTGTAAGAAAGGAAGCCCAGGCCCACATGGATCAGAAGGGAACTGAGAACTGAATGAAATGAGGGAAATTTTTCTGTAACTGTGAGGTAGGAAGAAAGAGGCCCTTGAACTCTGAGCATCCGAAAATTTGCTTTCTGGCCTAGCCCTGGCCTTGGACAATTAGACCTCTTTGTGCCTCAGTTTCCCCTTCTGTAAAATGGGGCTAATAGACCTTAGAAATGGTTCTGATTGGCTAGGATCTCACTCTTGCCCTCCTACCACCCTTCTGCTCCATTGAGAATTCGTGTGCCCAAAGGGTTGAATGGGGCCTGAGAGGGGGGACTGGTGAGGGCCAGTGAGGCAGGCTAGGCGGCCAACATGGTTGGTGCGACTTTCTCTCCAGAAGCTCACGACGCCCTCCACCACTTCTCCTGCAAGATGCTGACACCCCGGCACTGCACCGGCAACTGCTCCTTCAAGCCCCCGCTGTTGCCCTAGCGCCGGCTTGGCCGCGCCCACGCGCCCTCAAGCCATGCTGCTCCTTTCTGTAAATACCCGCTGCCGCGGCGGCCCAGAGCGAGGAACAAGCCATTAGGACCCGACCGTTGTAAATACAGCCGCCCGCCCGCCGGTCCCCATCCAGGCCCGGCTCGGTTTCCCACTGTAAATACTGCCTCGCCCCTCCTTTGAACTCCAGGGCATCAAACCCCAAGGGGTAAACTGGACTCACCGGGGAAAGAAACGGGAGAGGGGAGACCTCTTTCACACACACCCCACTCCGGCCTGAGTAGGTCCTGGGACACGGATTGTAAATATAATGTAGCGTCTTCGCTGGCTGCAGCCGGGCACTCCCAGTCCCGTCCACTTCTGAAACTCTTGTTCCTAACGACAACGTGGCTATGTGCAATGGATATAAACGGACTGTGAGTCTCTTGGTTCAGTATTAGGGTCACTTTATTTATGCTGTAAGTTATTTTACTTCCCCCGGGCCCCTTTCCAGTCCTCATTTTGCATTCATGCCTCTTTGGATTTTGCTTTGTGTTTTTTGTTGTTGTGTAACGTAACAGCACTTTAAAAGGGCGACAACTGACTCAACGAGATGGAGACCATCTTGAGCCTGTTCGGGGAGACCTGTATCCGTGACTTTGGTTTTTAATAAAAAGGAAAAAAAAATCTGTCACTTTGGGGCTGCGGAGTTGAGAGTGTGCCCAGGTGATGGTGAAAGATCCTGCCACTCAAAGATGGGGCGCGTGGGGATGCAAGTGCGGGGACGGATGGTCAAGGTTAGAGGGTGGTGCTCTCTCAGGAGACCCCTCTACTGACCCACCTAGACACACCCGATTTCCCCACAGGCCTCTGGAGTAGGACCCTCCTCTGGGAATTAGCTAGGGGAAGAATGCTGCCTGGTCCCTTGAACAGTGGTCCCTTCTTTCCCAAGCCTTTGCTGGTACAGCCGGAAAGTTTAATTTTTCTCCTTTTATGTCCTGTGTGTGAAGTCACCTGTGGGGCTTGGGGTATACTCAGCAAGGCTGCTAGGAATCCCGGGTTCAATCAGAATTGCTCTGCTTGCTGGTGCCGGCTCTGTAGACCTGACCTGGGAGTGCTGGCCAGGTGGAGGTGAGGATGGATCTTGACGGGACAGGTATGGAAAAGATGGGGAGAGTTTGATGCCCTGCCACGGGCCTGCCGCTATCCACTATCCCGAAGGAGGGAGCTCTGTCCTCATTTTAATGATCTCCCCCTCCATGTCCTAGCGGATTGGTGCAACTAGAGGACCCCAGTGAGGAAGGTGGGGCCTGATGACAGCAGGCGAAAAGGCCAGGATGCTCCCCAGCCTGTGGCCCAGGAGTGTGAAGCCTCACCTAGTTTCTGCAAGGCACCTACCTGCTGGTTGGGCCACAGAAAAATAAACTGCAGGAAACACCCTCCCCCCCAAGCCGTGTGGAGGATGGAATGGAGAAAGCGGGTTCTCTTACGAATTTTTCAACCCAGACTGGGTTTCATGCCCTCCTCTGGCTAGCAAAGGTCCTGCGTTGAGTCTTTTATTTTTTCCAGGGCCTCGTTTTCCAATCTCCATTAAATGACATTCGTTTGTGCCCTGAGGCTTAAGGAAGCGCTCCAAGAAGGAAGCCCATCTGCAGGCCGCTGCCAGGACCATCTCCTCCAAGAGCTGGCTCTCAGACTAGCACCCCAGAGCTCCAAGAGCTCTCTGGGGGATCTTGGAGCGAAGTCAGGTCCCGAAATTCTCTGGAGTGTTTTGGGCCATGAGACCTAGCTGCTCGCACCAGGGAGTTTCACTGGAGGCCTCTTGAGGTGCAGGCTAGCTAGGACACAGTCTGGACCATGGAAGAAAGAACCAGATGCTGAGCCCCACGCTCGCTCGGATGAGACAGGAGGCCAGTCCCTGTGTTGGGGTTGCGAACCTTCAAACCTGGGATACTGCCAGAGCCAGTGCAGCAGAGGATAAGATGGAAGTAAGGGCGGTGAGGTCTCCAGGCAAACTGTGAGGCTCTACCTTGCTATTACCCCTCTGGGTCCCTCCAGGGGCCTAAAATAGTTCACCTATGGGTGAGGTGAAGAGGGCGTGCTTATCGGCCCTTTCACGCCTGGGCTGCACACATCTTGAAAGTGAGATCTACATAGGAAGTGATTTGCATTCCCAGAACGCGCCAGGGACAGGACCCACAGCGCACGCAGGCTAGCAGGTTGCTTGCGCGCGTTTCCCACGGCCTAAACACACAGATGGAAGCCGCACAATCCTTTTCTGTAAAATGGGCAGGGCAGTTACCACCTAAGCAGGAAGGCCCGTGGCACACACTAACAAAGGAGACTGGCGAGCATTCCTTTCTCGCCTTTCCCTCCAAACTTCCCCAAAGCGGAGTAAAGTCAACAGGGACCTGGGGCTAGTCAAAAGGGGAGCTTCGGGTGGTACCGAGACTCTGAGGACTGGAGGTGTAGGCGGATCCGACCTAGAAAGTTCCGTCGCGCAAATAAGAAAAAAGCAAAGCACAAAACCAGAAACCCTCCTGGGCTCCACATCACTTCGAAATGGCTTGTTCCCCCCCAAAATGTTAATAACCAAACGATTGGTATGGATGTAATTATCAATAATTATACGAATTATTGCTGATTGCGGGGCTCGTAGCTACTTTAATTAGCTTACCAGATTCTAATTAAGTTAAATGAAACATTAATAGAGAAAATATGCTTTAAAAAACACCCAGGATTTTTAATGTCTATTTCTCGCCACAATGTTGCCACCTTGCGACGAACTCCGGGCATTACAGCCTGCGCTCACGGCCCAGACTCGGATACCTTCGCTCTAGCGGAGAAAGTGGGTTTGCAGAATCAAGGGAGACTGGGCACAGAATGTCTCACAGGAGATTTTTCTCCGGGTGTTTGTTTTGGCACCCCTGTTCCCCCGAGTTCTCTACAAGATTCTGGCGCTGGGATACAGGTCTGGAGGTAAGGAGCCATGTAAAACATGCCCCGTCCACCTCTCCACCGATTTCGCCAGAGGAATTCCATCCCTTATGCCAGCGGTGTGGGGCAGACTGCCTCTCTCCACCAGTGCGGCAAACCCTGCGTGAAAGACTGAGTAGACGGATATTTTCTGCCCTTGAGACACCTGTAAACTGCTTCCCACCTCTGCTTCCTCTGTCAATGGGTTCCTCACCTCCTTGGTCACAGCTCTCTTGTGTGTTCTCGGGGCTCTAGGTTCCTGGACTCACCTCCTTGTTATCCGTGGTAATATGAGTTGTCTACCCAGGAGACTGCAAGTACCTCCACAACTGAGGTCACACCTAATGTTCTTCCTTGCCACCTCCAACGGCACAGCGGAGGCACCGAAGTGCACACGTGGACCGTCCACGTGAAAGGCTATTTCGTCGAGGTGCTGGAAACGTCTGAGGGAAGGAATCCCAGGTGCTTCTGGACAACAGCCACCGAGAAGCAATTATGCTCATTTACATAAGGTTAATTAAACACAAGCTTGCTGCTCACAAAGATCCTTCATCAATAGGATTAGTGTTGGGGTAGGGTGTCAAGTAATTTATTGTCAACCTAGGGAAGGAAAACCTTCCTCGGGTCCCAACTGTGTGTCAAAGACACTACCTCATCCACACATTCCCAGCTACCATATCCTACAGTGCAACCTGGGTCCTTGGCAACTCCCACCTGGAATCCAGATCACCAGAAGAAGCAAAACTGCATTGTACACCTTCTCCCATGCTTCCATTCATTCTAAACAGGCTCACCCCTCCTCCCTCCCCAGAGGCCACAGTGGTGTGGGAAGAGCACAAACGCTGTAACGGGGTTCACTGAGTCTCCACTGCCTCTTTGTGTAATATGGGACCTGTTGGGGGAACTCTGTGTTCCTGCCTCATCCATAACATGACTTCATACAACTGGTTTGTACATGTAGTAAGCCAATACACGTAAAGCCTGGAGGATAGTCCTGGAAAATAGGAGCTGATGTATCTGTGTGTGACAGAATCAGAGCTGGTGTACCTGTGTGTGATAGAGTCAGAGCTGGTGTATCTGTGTGTGATAAGGCCACCTCGCAATCCAGCGCATTTTCCAGTCCGTGGCCCTCCACTCCTCCAGGGCCCACGAAAGGAGACAAGCCAATGCGCCCTCCAGCCTGACCTTCTGGACTTTCTGGAAACACTTAAAAGCAGTCACAAAGACCCGGTTGGAAAGATATCCTAAGGTCCTAACCTTGGTTGGCTACAGGTGGCCAATGAGGCAGTGGATGGGCCCAAGTTTCTTGAGCAAGTTGGAGCAGAGCCAGGAAAGGCAGCCAGAATTTCAGATTTTTCTAGCCCTGAGGATTGCATGCCCCAACAGTTCGTGTCGTGAGGAACGAGGGATTTCCTTGGACAGTTGGGTTCCTATACCATTCCATTCCAGCATAAATGATCCTGCCGGTCCTTACGACAGGAAGAAGCACAATAGTATTGTAGGTGGTGTCTTTGATTGGCAGCACTCCCGGAGAGAATTTAAAACTGTTGACCCCGAGAACCGGACATCTGATCCCAACAGAACTGTCCTCCAGTCGGTTCGTAGAGGAAGGCTGAGCCGAGGTGTAAGGAGTCCCACAGATCTTGATTCGACAATGGGATCAGGAACGGGTCATGTCACCTTCATAGACGAAAACAGAAGGAGTTAGCACAGCCAGTGGCGGCCTGAGGAGTCCGCCCAGTCCACGGTCTTCGGTTCTGATCACAGGTGCCCCCGTGGCGAGCCCAGGAGCCGCTGGCCTGCCCGCGGCTGCAGAGCCCTCGAGCCCTCGCGCAGGCTCAGAACCAGCGAAGCACGTACACCATGTTTCTTTGGGCGGGAATTGGACATTTCAGAAAGCATTGCGTAAGTCAGCCCAGGAAATCTGAACTTGGGGAAGGCGGTCCTTCCTTCTTGATCTTACTAATTAGGATTTCTGTATTATTTATTTATTGGTTATTTGGCAGTTGAATAAATGTGCGGACCAGGAAATTCTGCTTTCACAGTCAGGGTCTCTTCAAAGGTATCAGGCCTAGGTTTCAAATGCTTGCTCGTCTCGCCCCGGTGACTCTATGTCATTGCGATGTGGCACCTGAAGTGACCAGCTTTAGCGAACCATTCCTTCATAGGTTAGTGAGGAGGGAGGCAGAGGCGAGCGGGAGCTGGTGCACGTCTGCAATCCCAGCTATGGGGAGGCGGCGGCAGGAAGATCCAGAGCTGGAGGTTATCCTAGACTGCATGGCAAATTCGAGGCCAGGGTGGGATGTGTGAGACCAGTCTCAAAAAGTAAAATAAGTCACAAACTGCAACTGAAACCCCTGGATAAGGCACACTGCAAAGAGATGGCTCTGTCTAGACCCCTCTTCTTACTTCCTCCTGGAGAACTATGGTTCCATTGAATCAAGCAAAAGATGGAACATGGGAAGATTGTGTGGGGGCTGTTGTGAATGTGGAATTTAAAAATAGAGAAAGAAAAATATGGAACGCTTCACGAATTTGCGTGTCATCCTTGCGCAGGGGCCATGCTAATCTTCTCTGTATCGTTCCAATTTTAGTATATGTGCTGCCGAAGCGAGCACGGTTACGTGTGAGTCTCAGAAGGTATATAAGGGCAAAACTGTCAAAATTTTATCAGTTATGGTGAGGTTCTTATGTACTGTTTTCCAAATCCAATCTCTCTATAAATTCGTACTTTATGAATTCTATATTGCGCATTCGTCATTTTTAGTTTAGATGCAGAGTTAAATTCAGTTATGCCCGCATCTTCGTTTCAACATTGTATATGCAAATGAAGGGACGATGGGAAACAGACCTGTTCCGGGCCGATCTGTGCGCGGCCCCGTAGTCACAGTCCGCCACGTGATGCGCGCTGTGCACGCGCCTGGCCGCGCTGTGCCCGCGCCTGGCCGCGCTGGGCTCCTCCGGCGGCGACGCAGGGCGCCAGTGTAGCCTAGGGACAAGGCGCCAAGGGGTCCACCGGGTCCCACTTGGAAGGGCGGGGCCAAGCTTGCGAGCGGCTCATCAAGCCAGGCTCGGCTCTGAGACTCGCCACCCATGATGCGGCTGCCCAGGGTGGCCTGCTCCGGGTGTAGAGGGTGATGAGCCGCCTCTGCCTCAGTTTCCCCCGGGCTTGTCGAAAACAGCGCGCCACCACTGGAGCCGAGGCAAAGGGGGGTGTCCACGTTGGAGCCCAGACTTGCCGAGTGTGGCCCGCGGCTGGCGGTCGTTGTGGGAGAGGGGCACGCTCGCGCTCCTGCGTTTACTAAGGGCCAGGCCCTTTAATGGGGGTGGTCCCCCCGACTTTGCAAGTTAGGAAATCGAGGCTCTGGCAGGTTAAACCAAGTGGTCCTGCGCGCCGTGAAAGAAGTCGAGATTTGGATGCTAGCCGAGTTCAGAGGCCGCTCTTTTCTCGTGCACAGTAGGACTCTGAAGAAAGAGCAGCCCTCCCCCCCCCCCCCCGTTCCGGGTTAGACTGTACCCCCAAGCTTAGCCTACTCTTCCTCCCTTCCCTTTTTGCTCTGACAGACCCGGAGCGCCGACATGTCGCCACCCGCTCTTTAAGGTGAGAGAGTGAGCAGGAAGCTCGGGTGCCAGACGTGCAGTGAAGAGACTAGATCGGGGTGTGTCTGTCACTGGGTGACCGCCCCTGGGGTGGGCGGCCACAAAAGGAGGCGACCTTGGAACAATGACCTGATACACGGGCGGCCCTGAGAGGACGGGGACAGAGCCTCCCAGGCAAAAGCCACCGGAGCCAGCCAGGGCCACAAGGGAGCCGCCAGCGAGGTACTAGGGGCTCGCACGCAGTGCTCGGCCTGGGTGCGGTAGGACAGGACCGGCCCACAGCCTAGGCAGAGGAGCCCCAGGCCGGGCTTTTGGAGCCGAGGCCTCCCCCTCCCTACCTGTTTTCAATGAGCTGGAAATCGGGCGCACGCTGCCCAGCCCCTCACGTGACCTCTCTCTAAATAAGCAGTAAGCAACTGCAAAACTCAGAATGCTAATAATGGCCTTTACTGAGAGAAAAGAGCTAATTTGGGCAATGATGTTTCCCTCGGATTTACAAAAGGGAATTGCAAATAACCAAACAGTAATAGCATTAATGGGAGATGATGCTAAACTTCTATCAGCATCCGCGTTTGTTATTCACGTATTTAGAAGGGGAGCCTTTTCGACACAGTGGCTGCGCACACGTGTCACGGTGACAGGTACATAACTGCCTTAGTGTGCAAGCCAGCAGGAGACAGACCTGGTTCTTGTTCACCGTTCCTGGCTATTTTAAGCCGGAGGTGGTCTGTTAGGCTTGTTGTTGTCTGTTTGCTTTTTCTGGTCCAGAAGCCAAGGAATCTATTTGGATTCTAGTTCCACTCTTTCTGGCTCTAGCCCTGTTTTAGCTTGAACGAAGACTGTTAACTGCTAATGTCTTGTTCAGCCTTGACGTGGACACTTGTGTAACTGAAGGGCTTTCCTGAGAGAACAGAATTAGCAAGATGTCAAAATTCCAAGATGGTTCAGTGGGTAATCAGGCTGATGACCTGAGTTTGATCCCTGGGACCTACATGATGGAAAGAGAGAACTGATGCTCACATGTTGGCCTCTGACTTCCACACACATGTGCGATGGCACACACCCAGCCACACACATACACAAAACAAAAGGTAATAAAATTCTAAATTCCAACATTATTTTTGTATCCTACAAATATACTGGTCATCGGTGAGGTGTGACGGCCCCTGAAGGATCTGCAGGAGCTATCTTAGACCTAGTTCTCAGGCTGCTGAGGAGAACAGTGCTCCCCTCAGCGGGGAAGGCCCAACATGAAAGAAGGTAGAGGATACTACTATGCTTTGGACCTAAAGCTTCAGTCAGAGGTGGAATCAAACGAAGGTAATTCAGTCAGAGGCACCACTGCTCCTGAAGAAATGAGTGCTTTTCTCCTGGAACTGAATTATTGCTGTGCTGGGACTGGCAAAGAGCTGGGTTATTTACCACGGGAGAAGGTGGTTCTACCAGCCTGGCATCCTTGGCTTCCTCTCACCGTGTAACTTTTATTGCAGACCAGGGAAGCCTGCTAAAGGATGCTGTCCTCTTTGTGGAAATGTACCCAAATACCTTCAGCAAAGACCAAGCAGATGAGGCTACCCAGTCATGGACTTTAATGCTGCAAAACTGTAAGCTGTATAAACCTCTTTTCTGTAGATGCTCAGCCTTATAGCATCAGAAAACAGACTAAGATAGTGGGTGAATGGAGGGAAAGAATGGATGTGGTATGAGGCTGGAGGAGAGAGCTCATGAAAGAACCCCTTAAAGGGAGAACCAAGTGGATCACGACTTCACAGGAAGTCCCATCCCCCAGGACACAGGCACTAAAGCAGAGGAGTGTGGGTGCTATGGCTCTGGCCAGCCATCTCAGAGCTCCAGGGGCAGCAGAGCTCCAGTAACCTTCCGGGTCATTGACTTCTCTCCACTCTGCAGACCTGAGGTGACCTGAATGTGGATAGTCTTCCCTGAGCGTCTTGGGCTGCAGAACCCCAAGAGACAAGATGTGGTGACTTGATTCTCTTGGGGGTGGGGCTTCCCACCACCTGAGTGAGAGAATGTAGACCAGGTTTGGTTTTGATTCTTGTTTTTTGTTGTTTTGTTTGTTTGGGTTTTTTTTTTTTTTTTTTTTTTTTTTGAGACAGCGTTTCGCTGTGTTATAGCCTTGGCTGTCCTGAAACTCACTCTGTAGACCAGGCTGGCCTCCAACTCCCAAAGACCTTCCTACCTCTGCCTCCTGAGTGCTGGGATTAGAGTGGCGCACCACGACGTGTAGCATTATTATTATTAAATTTTAATTATTTAGTGTATAAAGATCATCCTCAGGTACACAAGACCCCGTCTCAAAAGTCAGGGGAAGCCGGGCGGTGGTGGCTCACGCCTTTAATCCCAGCACTCGGGAGGCAGAGCCAGGCGGATCTCTGTGAGTTCGAGGCCAGCCTGGGCTACCAAGTGAGTTCCAGGACAGGCTCAAAGCTATACAGAGAAACCCTGTCTCGAAAAACCAAAAAAAAAAAAAAAAAAAAAAGTCAGGGGAAAAAAATGGTGTGTGGTGGGGTGCTGATGAGGTTGTTCAGCAGGTAATGTGCTTGTCACGTAAGACTGTCAGCCTGTGTTTAAGCTCTGGAAACCACGTGGCAGAGGAGAGACATGACTGACAGAATTGCCCTCTGACTGCCACTATGGAGTTATGCACAAGCCCCCATCCTGTGCACACAGTGACACAGAGGGGGAGGAGGGGCTGAGTCTGGGGGCACCTGCTAGCCTCTCCACCTGTCAGCATGTCTGTTTCATCTGCAGGGCATGAAAGGGGATGCTCCTCCAGATCTTGGCACCATGGACTCTGCTGTCACTCACCCCCTAGGCCACACTGACTGACAGTGACTATGGTTTACGGGGTGTGTGTGTGTGGGGGGGGGGTGGGCAGGGACTTCCTTATATAAGTTCCAGCAGCCTCTCTGCTGACCCTGGATCACCCTGAAGCAAGCCTACCAGGCTTCTGACTTCTCTTCTAGGATGGAAGATGTAATTCTTGCCCTTGCTGTCCAGGGTTGGGGTGGGGGCCAGATGAGAAAGGGCATTGGAAACTCCCAGCCCTCTCCCAGGGAACCACTCCCCTTACCTGGCCAGGAGGCACTGGTCCCATCCCCCACCAGGAAAGACTCGGAAAAACCAGAAAATGAGAGTGCCAAGATGAACCATCACATTGTGTTAATATTTTCACACCACTTAACTCTCATTAAAATGTACTTTGCTGAATTTAATATGTGATTTCAAATGACACAACATATTAAGTGCTTAATATACTAGAAATTATGAAACTATTATAGTCGATGCCATATGAAATAATTAGAGTGAATTAAACTTTAGCAGCCGAGTGAAGGCAGGGCTTCAACTTATAATGTCTGCAAGTCGCTCAAGCCACAGCTGTAATCCCCCAAATAAATGTCCAGAAATGAGGCTCTTTAAATAAAAACCGAATCTCATGTGTACTTACACCACAAGGTCTTCTGGGCTCTAGTGACATGGGACCTGGCTGCTCTGGCAGGAGGGGAGGGGCCTGGGACCCACTCCCAGGAAAGACCCCTGGGGCTTTACCTGGCTTTGCCCAGAGGTACAACTCAAGTGGCGTGTGATGTCAAGAGGCATGGCTCTCCTATGTCAGAACAGTGCGCTGCTGAGTTGAAAATAGAAACACGCCTACTCACCTCGCAGGGCTGTGCCTCCTGCCAGCTGTTTTCTGTGCAGCTGATCACTCAGCCTCACGGCGCATCTGGGTTACAAGTCGCCATTTTCTGCTGAAGAAACTCTGAAAGAGAATCATCAAGGACTTCGGTCAGATCCACTGTGCTGATCCATACTAGTGTATGAGCACATGCACTTGTGTGTTTGTGCACCCCTATCTAGAGTGTGTGTGTGTGTGTGTGTGTGTTAATGATATGCTTGTATATGTGGAAGCCAAAGAAGGATGTCCTCAATTGCTCTCCACCTCATTGTAAAAGCGATTTTTATTTATAGGTATGAATGTGCGTCTGTGTGTGCAGGTATGTGCACATGTGTGCAGATGCTCTCAGAAGCAAGCAGAGAGCCTTGAACCCCTGGAGCTGGAATTACTGTGAGTTACCCACCCTGGGTGCTGGGAACTGAACTGTGTCCTCTGCAAGCAAGAACAGGACTTGCTCTTAACTGCTGAGCCATCTCTTGGGTCCCTCCACTTTATTTATCTGAGGCAGGGTCTCTCACTGAACTGATTTGGCTAACCCAGTCAACCAGCAAGCCCCAGGCATCCTCCTGCCTGCATCTCCTCCACAGTGGGATTCCAGGCACCCTCGGCCTTCCCTGAGTTTTCACACAGCTGCTGGAGGTGGACCAGCAAGCTCTCTATCCACTGTGCTGCCTGAGCATCCTTGATTTTAATCCTGTGGCCAATGACCATGGTGTCAGGACCTCTCCTGTCTTGGAGAATGTCCCTGCTTCAACCCTTCTATTTTCTTACATTTATTTATTTATTCACTTATTTATGTGCACATGTGAAGGTCAGAGGTCACCTGGCCAGAGTCGGTTCTTTCCTTCCAACATGTGGGCTCCATGGCAAGTGCCTTTATCCATGGAGCCATCTTGCTAGCCCTGCCTCAACATTTTATTCACATAGTTTATTATTATCGTACACATCTTCCCTGGATAAATGTACTAATCTTTGAAGAATCCCTGTGGATGTGTCTAGAATAACAGAACAGATATATGGATAAACAACATGATAAAAGGAAGAACTAAGAGGTGACCATGAACATGAAGTAAATAAGAGGGGTCCGGGTACGTGGCTCAGTTTGTAGAATACTTGCCTGGTGTGCACCCCCCACCCCCCACCCCCACACATATGCATTCTGGCATGTTCAACTTCGTGAAAAGATCATTAGCAGAGCCAGGTGTGGTGGTACATACTTGTAATGCCAGCACCTGGGAGGGTGAAGTTAGAGGTTCTCTGAGCATCACACTGAGATTCTTGCTCAGATTAAAAAGAAAAAACAGGGACTTGGGATCTAGCTCTACCGGTAGAGAGCTTATCTAGCATGCATGAAGCCCTGGGTGCCATCCCAGCCCGGGGTGAGATGGTGCACACCTGTAATCCCAGCACTGCCGAGGTGGACGCAGCAGGATCACAAGTTCAGTGTCAGCTGGGAGGTGGTGGTGCACGCCTTTAATCCCAGCACTTGGGAGGCAGAGGCAGGCAGATCTCTGAGTTTGAGGCCAGCCTGGTCTACGAAGCGAGTTCTTGGACAGCCAGGGTTATGCAGAGAAATCCTGTCTTGAAGCCCCCCGCCACCCCCAAAAAGAAAAAGTTGACGAAATTCAGGGTCATCTTGGGATACATAGTGAGTTTGGGGCCATCATGGAATGCATATATGAGACACTTTCTCAAAAAAAAAAAAGATTCACCATAAATCAAACATCAAAAAATAAAACCAAGCCCCCAAACTCCCAAAGCCCCAAAGCAAGGGCAATGACAATCTTCCATAGTTCTGCTTTCCAGTGATAAGAGTTTGGTATGATGACCACATATTGATCTTAGCATGTATTATGATTGCCAATCAAGATCCTACGATGACCGGACGGTGGTGGCGCATGCCTTTAATCCCAGCACTCGGGAGGCAGAGCCAGGCGGATCTCTGTGAGTTCGAGGCCAGCCTGGGCTACCAAGTGAGTTCCAGAAAAGGCGCAAAGCTACACAGAGAAACCCTGTCTCGAAAAAGAAAAAAAAAATCCTATGATGACAGATTGCTTTGAACAATTCCTGGCATGAAGAAGCAGCCCCCTTCCATGACCTCTTCTGCGAATGCTCCTCCTGCAGTCGTCTGGTTAAGGCAGTGTCCAAAATCAGCTGATGTTCTCACCCCTGAAGAGCAAACTGGTTGTGGCAGATAGTAGGGTACAACCTCGTTCTTTGTTCAGATATGCTATTTTTATTTATTATTATCACAATCATTATTATTATTGTATGTATGTGTGTGCATGCATGATGATGTGTGGACCATGTCACAACACCAGGTCAGAGGATGACAGTCAGTTCTCTGTTCTGTCCTTCCATGGATCCCAGGGACCAAACCCAGGTTGCCAAGCTTAAGATGCAGTGAGCACCATTACTGGCTGAGCCATCTTGCTGGCCCCTACTTAAGATATTTTAATCGATGTATACTAAGTGTACTTATTCAGGATCACAACTTTTCTCCGCATAGTGGGTGAGTCCAACCGGAGGTAGAAGTGTTTGGGAATCTACCACAATCAGCCCTGTAGATTTGCCCCTCCCGCGTTAACAGAGGACAGCTCTGCTTTGATTTGTCAGTTTCCATAATCTTTTCTTCGTTTGTGCACGGGGCTGTGTGGTCCGTATGTGTCCTGTACAAGTCTTCGTTAGTGTAAAGGTGTGCATGTGTGTGGAGGCCAGAAATTGACACAAGTGTCTTCCCCAATTGCTTTCCACTTCTTTCTTTCTTCATTTTTCTTTCTTCCTTTCCTTCTTTTTTCTCTCTCTCCCTTCCTCCCACTCTCCTTTTCTTTCTTTCTTTCTTATTTCTTTTTTTTTCTTTTTCCTTCTTTTTTTTGTTTTTGTTTTTGTTTTTTGAGACAGGGTTTCTCTGTATAGCTTTGAAGCCTTTCCTGAAACTCACTCTGTAGCCCAGGCTGGCCTCGAACTCACAGAGATCCACCTGCCTCTGTCTTCCGAGTGCTGGGATTAAAGGTGTGCGCCACCACCTCCCAGTTTCATTTTCAGGTTTTTATGTGAGTTCTGGAAATCTGAACTCAGGCCCTCATTCTTGCATGGCAGTAACTTTCCTAACTGAACCATCCCCCAGCCCCATTAGACATATTTTTGATCCATGTGGGAGTCTATTCTTTCATCCTTGTTTGAATTGTCTGTCACCATGCATGATGTCATGGCAGTCATGAGCTGATCTTTTGGGCAGTAGGACACCAATATGTAAATGCAGTAAGGCTAGAACTGTGTTCCACGTTCATGGAAAAAAGACCGGAAAAGACATATAAGTCTGTTTGATATTTTTCTTATTGTATTTCTGCCAAATCAAAACACTATGGGATGGTACTACTATGTACCCCTCGGCTCACGACTGTCTTACAACATAAAGTGCACTCAACTTTAGAAGTCCTGAGGGTCAGTGATGGAGAGATGCCTCAGAGATTAAGAATCCTTCTTGCAGGGCTGGAGAGATGGCTCAGAGGTTAAGAGCTCGTTCTTCCAAAGGTTGGGAGTTCAATTCCCAGCAACCACATGGTGCCTCACAACCATCTGTAATGAGATCTGGTGCCCTCTTCTGGCCTGCAGAGATATGTGCAGACAAACAAGTAAATAAATCTTAAAAAAATGTGGCTCACATACACGCAAAGAAGCACCCGTGCACATAAAACAAACATTGAAATCTATACATTGTAATACTCTAAGAGTTGGTGAGACAGGCCAGTGAATAAAGCATTTGCCGCTCAGCCTTGAGAACCTGAGATTGTCCCTGGCAACCCAGTGGCCAGGAGATTCTGCCCTGAAAACAAGGTGGAAAATGAGAAGTCTCCCAGATCCTCTGACCTCCACACACCATGAATGCACATGTACACACACACACACACACACACACACACACACACACACACACAGAATAAACAACTTTTTAAGTCTCTTACAAAGTTCAAAGCAAGTTACATACCTGTTGTGGGAAATTCACCATTTGGTCCAATTACCAGTTGGATGGAGTGTTTTGGCCTTATTGGCATGTTTTTCTCTGATATATGTAACCCCTTAAAAACTGTGGGGCAAGGGTCGCATGCTCCCCCGGGTGGTCGGAGCAGGAGCAAGCAGTGGAGAAACGTGGCTTGCAGTCTGGTTCCCATAGCCCTTGGGCAGAACGGCAGGACAACAGCAGGTGGATCAGCAGCGGCCTTCTGTGTCGTGAGTGTACCTTATAGACTTCATTCCTTAATAAATCTTACCTGGCCGCATACCTCAGTGTCCCATTTTACATACCTCCGACATATAATGGCACAGGGTGGACATTCTTTTTCCTAAAGGGAAGAATCAGCAGCGTATTGAAGGCGTGAGGGGACCAGAGCAAGACCCAAATCCAGCCGGATAGACACCCGATCCTGCAGCTCCGCGTCTGGCATCAGACTTGGAGAGACAGCTATTCCATATGCTAAGGAAGAACGGTCAATAATAAAATGAAGTCTGGACAAGGGGCATTGTGGAGGATGGCACGCTGGCTTCCTCTCCTTGGCTCACCCACACCTCCCTCTTGAGCTTGCACCCCTGCTGCTGAAGCTGAGTAAGAGTGGCTACAAGGGTTTGGGGGAGATGCTATTGCTAGTCTGGCCTCCCAGATTTAGCCTCCTCATCCACCTTGATGGGGCTCCTTCTGACACTTAAACAAAAAAAAGTTTAATTTTTAATTATGGGGCGGGGTATGCATTAGATCATCTGAAGCTGGGGTTACGGGCAGTTGTGAACTTCACCATGTGGGTGCTGGGAACAGAACTCGGGTCCTCTGCAAAGGTAGCGTGTTCTCTTAACCATCTTTTGAGAGTCTCGTGTATCCTACCTCACTGTGTAGCTGAGGGTGACCCGATCTTCCCTCCGACCCTGAGCCCAGGTGTGCAACCACACTTAGGGTTTTATGCATTGCTGGAGATCCAAACCAGGGCTTTGATAAGGTAGGCAAGTGCTCTACCAACTGAGCTACACCCCCAAACTGTCTTCTGGGGCTTCTAGAGGCAGCGGTTCCATCTGGAGTCCTCGTGAGGAGATCATGTAAGCTCAGTCCTCCTGGCCGGCAGGCCTGTGGGCCAGAGGGCGGGTAGAGCAGGATGGCTACCCTGACCGTGGCTGGGCTTGAAATCACATCTGTTAAGAGGGTTTTCAGAGACCCAGGGGAGGCTGTGGGACGGGTCACAGGGGCCATGCCATAGCCAGGTGTGTTGTGGGAAATAGTAAGGAAGATCATCAAAGACACAGTAGCTGAATGACTGGAGGAGGTTTCCCTCTCTGGACAATCGTCGTCTTCCCCACCTCCAGCAATCTAGTGATGCCTCTCTCCAACCCCATGCAACCCCAGCCCTAGGCTCCGCGCTCAGTCTGACTCCTGCCTCAACTTCCGGTGACTAAGCTAGGAATCATCTCCCTTTCACTTAACAGCAGGGACCAGAATTCCTTTTTTCTCCTCCTTTAACATTTTAAAAAAGTAGTGTGTGTGTGTGTGTGTGTGTGTGTGTGTGTGTGTGTGTGTGTGTGTGTGCCCCCACGAAGAGTGGTTGGATCCCCTGGGGCTGGAGTGGTGAGCTGGGTCCTGGGAATTGAACTCCAGTTCATCTGGAAGAGCAGTAAATGCTCCTAACCCCTGAGCCATCAATCATCTCCCCAGCTCCTCCTGCTTCCTCTCATAAATGACAATGTCGTGTTGCCGTTTACAGTGCTGGTGAAGGCAGCTTAATCCGACACTCGAACAGCTAAACCTGGGCTCCAGGAGAAAGCTAAGGAACTGATCACTTTGATGTGCGCGTTCTGAGAAAAGGCCATCTCCACACTCCCTTCCTTCCCATTCCTACGGAGGTCTCTGGTGACTCTCTTTACCTGCCTGTCTAATACTCCAGCCCCTGTCCCTTAAGTTTTAGACATTCCTCATCAACGAATGTTCTCCTTATTGCAACAGCCTGAGCAAATCTTAAGCCTGGGACGTCTATTCCTCATAGCTTCTGGAGGTCGTTGAAAACGTCAGTTGAACGGGAAATTTACCCGGGGTCCCAGGTTCCAGTCCTGGCCCACTCTTTTCTGGCTTCCCCTTTTTAGCAAGTTCAGTTCTGAGAGGAGGTGGACCAGAGGGGAGGTGGGGCCCCGCGAGCAGCTGTACCTTTCTCACGCTGCCACCAGAGGGCGATGGCTCCGCGCAGGAGGCCTGCCGACGCTCCCGCGGGCAGTGGACGCTGGCAAACCAGCTCGTCCCGGGTGCGACGCCCGCGAGACGCCTCCTGCGGCTCTGCACACCGCCAGCCCAGCTTTCCGGAGGCCCTTGAGTGGGTGGGAACACCCCTCCAAGACCATCCTCCTGCCTCTGCTGCTAGCTCTGGTCGAGGATAGGCCCTTCTCTGGCCTATCCTCTCTAACTGGGATTGACCAGGGATGCCCGATTCAGCGGGAAATGGGGAGGAGGGACAGGATGCAGGAGCCTCGGCGACCAACCGGCCGAAAGAGGGGATCAGGAGAACAAGAAGGAAAGATATTAGCCTTTGACAGCAGAGGTAGGGAATGGTGGGTCAGAAGAGGAACTGGGGTTTTCTCCGCCCAACTGCCAGCCCTTGGGCTGGAACCCTCCGGTTTAGAGATAGTTTCCTACTAGGGGAAAAACAAAACAACAAAACAAAACAAAAACAAAAAACCTAGCGCGGGCAAGAGAAAGGGGCCCCTCAGGACAATCAGCTCCACACCAAGTGCACTCTCTTAAAGGACTCCAACTGGGGAGCTCATTGGCTTGGGAGGAGCATAGATAGCACTTGCATAAAAGTGCCTCCGTCCCCAGACGCTTTTTAAAATGTTAAGCAGAGAGCTCGACCTCAGAGCCAGCTCTAGCAATTGGATTAACCTTGGAGGGAAAGGTTTCATTTTCTGTGTGTGGTTCAAATTTCTCCTCGGTAGCATCTGTAAGTACGCGAAAGCAGCGGTTCACTGCGGCTGGAAAAAGTAATACAAAAATGCAAAACGGAAATAACAAAACAGGAAACAAAATATCTAAAAACCACACAGAAACAAAACCCTCAAAACCAATAACTGAAAGCCAAACATCACAGTCAGTCAGGTGGGGTAGCGCACGCCTACAATCCCAGCACTCTGGAGGCAGGGGCAGGTGGATCTCCGAATTCAAGGCCAGCCTGGTCTACAGAGTGAGTTCCAGGACAGCCAGGGCTTCACAGAGAAACAAACCAAACAAAAAGATTGCAAACCAACAAAAATCTCCTCAAACCCAAATAAAACAAAAAAAGTCACCTTCTTCAAGAATTGGAAACCAGGACCTGGAGAGAGGGCTCTGTAGTTAGGAGAGCTGGTTCTTGCAGAGGACCTGGGTTTGATTCCCAGCACCCACAGGACGACTCACAACTTCAGATCCAGGGGATCCGACGCCCTCTTCTGGCCTCATCAAGCAACTGTACGCAAGTGATTCATAGACATACATGCAGGCAAAACACTCATCCATACACATAAAAAAAAATGCTTTTAGGGGCTGCAGAAATGGCTCAGTGGTTAAAAACACTTGCTACTCTTCCAGAGGTCTCGGGTTCAATTCCCAGCACCTACATGGCAGCTCACAACTGTCTGTAATCTAGCTACAAGTGATTGACACTCTCACACAGTCATGCATGCAGGCAAAAACACCGATACACATAAAGTAAAAATAAACAAATCATTTAAAAATTGTTTGAATGCTTTTAGGAAAGAATTGGGAACTACAGAAGAGGATAAAGAAATTATTCCCACGTTCCTCCGCACCCCACAGACATCGATGCTGTTCTTTCTCTACAGAATGAGGATAATGGTGTGAACAGGACAGCAATGTCCCGAGGACTCAGGGAACGTATGTAACAGCAATAGCAGACATTCCAGAAGTGTGAGCTATTTTTATATGGAAAGAAACCAGCCCCACATTGTACAGATCGGTGATGTGCTGTTTTCACTTAGGCAACTTTTCAGTCAACTATTCTTCCAAATGATATTTTTACTGATTGCACGATATTTCGTTCCATTTTAGTACAATTTATTTAAGCTAGCCCCTGCTGCGGAGCCTTTAGATTATTTCCAGTTTTTGCTGTTAAAATAACAGTGAGATTAACATCTTTAAACATCTACCCTTGTCAGCATTTCTGATTATTTCCTTAGGCAGATTTTTTTTTTTTTTTAGAGGTAGGATTACTGGGACAAAGGGCACAAATATTTTTCAGGCTTTTGAGTCAGGTTACAGAATTGCTTCCCAGAGAGATCTTGCCAATTCCCCCTCCCGCCTGCAGTGTGAGAGGGTACCACACAGCACACAAAAGAGGGATGTTGCGGGTGGGTGGGGTCCGAGGATGCCGTTGGACCGAGGAGGAGGGCTTTGGAGAGAGCAGGCTTGGGGTAGGAACAAAGGAGCTACATGGATTTACGGATGTGATGAAGTTTTGTTTGTTTTGGTAGTTTTTAAGAATTATTTATTATTGATTTATGTGTGTGTGTGTGTGGGCACCTGGGTGCATGCAGGAGCTGTGGAGGCCGGAAGAGGTTGTCCGGCCTCCTGGAACTGGAGTTACAGGCAATTGTAAGCCATTGTGTGGGTGCTGGGAACTGAACTTAGATCCTCCACAAGAGCGATGCATGCTCTCAACCAGCAAGCCAATTCTCCGGCCCCAAGACACAAGAAAGAAAGGCAAAAACGAGCTTCCTTCCTTTCTTTCTTTTTTTCATGTGGTGTGTGTGTGTGTGCATGTGTGTGTGTGTGTGTGTGTGTGTGTGTGTGTGTTTTGTTTTTTCAGACAGGGTCTCACCACACTACTCTGGCTGGCCTGGAACTCACAGAGATCCACCTGCCTCTGCCTCCTGAGTGCTGGGATCAAATGAATGCACCAGTACCCCGGTAGGAATATGATGGTTTTAATTCTTGACTTGACACAACCTAGGATCATCTAGGAAAACAAGTCTAATGAGGGATTGTCTGGATCACCTTGGCCCAAGGGCATGTCTGTAGGGGGTTGTCTTTTCGGGCCTTCAATGATGTGGGAAGACCCAGTCTGAAAGTGGGAGCTGCCACTCCCTGGTTTAGGGTCCTGGGATGGATAATAGAGAAAGCTAGCCAGGCACTAAGTACCATCCATTCATTCCCTCCTCACACTGATGGGGATGTGATGTGAATACATGCTTTATGTTCCTGCTTTGACTTCCCACTGGACTGCACCCTGGACTCATGAGCTAAAACAAGCCCATTTCACT